AAACTAATGAAGACCCAGATTTCCACCCTTTCTTCTATAATGCAACTTTTCCTGTCTTCTTGTAACCTTGATTAAAATTCAAAAAAAGATGTGTCATTTTGAGTATCATCACTTTGACCTTGTTTCTTAATGTTTAATTCTGTTCTCCAGGCTGGCAGTGATGGTGAAAGCATAGGAAACTGTCCCTTTTCCCAGAGGCTCTTCATGATTCTTTGGCTCAAAGGAGTTGTGTTTAGCGTCACAACCGTTGATCTGAAAAGGTAAGACGTGGTCACAGTTTGTGAGCAACTTAAGTTGAGAGTATGTACCTTACTATCTTTTTAGTTTGAACTTCTGCCCGGCCCTCACTCTAACTTCATGTATTCTCAAAAGGAAATATACTGTGTTAAAGTTCTGCTGGTTTGTGGACAAATTTAACTTTCATATAAGTATTATGGACAACTTACAATATCAGCATAGGGCTACTCAGTCTTTTTAGGAACTTTTTTATTGTATATTAACCTTAAATTTCATGAGCAATGCCAGGAGCTAAGTTTTAGTGTGGATGCAGTGAAACCCTTGAATTTCCCAATGGAAATATGGAGCTATGAAGAACTTTCTAAGCAGGTATCATTTGGTCTCAAATGTGCTAAGCATATGAACTGTATAATCTGGACCTTTATTTTTTTATTTTTTGAGTTGGAGTCTCACTCTGTCACCCAGACTGGAGTGCAGTGGCATGCTCCCGGCCACCGCAGCCTCAACTTGCTGGGCTCCGGCCATCCTTCCACCTCATCCTTCCAAATAGCCGGAATTACAGGCATGCGCTACCACACCTGGCTAATTTTTGATTTATTGTAGAGATGAGGTCTTGCCAAGTTGCCTGGGTGGGGTCTCAAACCCGTGGGCTCAGGAAATCTACTCGTCTCGGCTTCCCAAATTGCTGGGATTATAGTCTAAACCACTGAGCCCGGCCTAATCTGGATCTTTAAAGACAAGAATGGGAAATTTAGGGGGTTGAATATTGTTGTACTCTATTTTATTTAATTTGCTTCCAGTTTTTTAAAACGTGATTTTAATCCTATTTTGTTCTGTGTCATAAAATAAGAGAATTTCTGTATCAGTTGTTGCTAGTTAAAGAGTTGTTTGAGCCGGGCTCGGTGGTTCAGCCTGTAATCCCATGCCTTTGGGAGGCTGAGGTGAGTGGATTGCCTGAGCCCGCGGGTTCGAGACCTGCCTGGGCAGTGAGACCTCATCTCTACAATAAATCAAAAAATCAGCCAGACATGGTAGCGCATGCCTGTAATTTCGGCTACTCGGAAGGCTGAGGTGGAAGGATCGCTGGAGCCCAGCAGGTCGAGGCTGCGGGTGGCCGGGAGCAGCCACTGCACTCCAGTCTGGGC